GTCAGGAGTTCGAGACCAGCCCAGCCAACATGGTGAACCCTTGTCCCTACTAAAAATGCAAAAATTAGCCAGGTGTGGTGGCAGGTGTCTGTAATCCCAGCTGCCGAGGCAGGAGAATCACTTGATCCCGGAGGCAGAGGCTGGTTGAACAGGTGAGAGAATGGCTTGAACTCAGGAGGTGGAGGTTGCTGTGAGCCAAGATTGCACCATTGCACTCCAGCCTGGGCGACAGGAGCGAGACTTTGTCTCAAAAAAAAAAAAAAATGGAAACGCTGCCTTTGCTTCCCTGCCCTGGAGCTGCATCATTTTCCTTGGGGTCTCCAGACCACTTTGACCTCTCCGTGGCCAACGATGGCGGGGAGGCGGGTGGATCTGGAGCCGACATGGGCAGGCTCAGCATTCCAGCCCATTTTGAGGTGAGGTTGGCCTTGGGTGAGGACAGGGGTCACCGGGTCAGACACACTCGTTTTCTGGAGCCCAGTAGAGGTGACGTGTCCATCAGGAAAGCACCTGCCTGTGCTGGGGGCGCTCCGCCGGCCTCCCTGGGACCTTGTTCTGTGCAGATGTGTCCTCTCCCTTTCCCCCCACCTGCCTGATCAGAAGCTCTGGGTTTCCACCCCTCCACCCCCCACCCCCCGCACTGCTTTTACAAGCCTCCCCAGGGGATGACGTGGGAGATGGTGGGGGCTGTCTATCAATGGAGAAGGTGGAGGTTTGCACTCAGAGCAGAGGATGTTTAGACTTGAAGGGGCCAGGCAGGAAGGTACTGGTTTTACTAAGCCCCGTGTTTATTGGGCACCCACTAAGTATGTGGGTGGGCCCTGTATGTACCGAGTAGATTCTGACAAAGAAGCTGTCGCAGGAACCCCAGCTTGCTGCAGAGTGGGGCCCAGGCTCCAAGCCTGGTTGTCAGGGTTACCAGGTGCTGGCTCGGCTAGGGGCTGCAGGCTGCGCTAGGCGGGACTGGGCTGGGCTGGTACCTGTGCCTGGTGTCGGCCCAGCTGTCGTTGCAGTGGTCAGCTGCCGCTCTCCAGCCCAGGGCAAACAGCTGTGCTAGGTGCACCCTGGGGGACCAGGCTGCATGGGCTTCCTGCAACTGGTGAAGCTGCCAGCCACTTCCTCTGTGCTGTCTCCAGCAGACAGTTCTGGGTATACAGTCCTCATTTGCCTATAAAGCAGGCCTTAGACCATCTCTGCCCCAGCCCCAGTGCTGGCCCTTTGTATGAACAGACTCTGAAACCAACAGGCTCTGAAACCGTGCTCAGAACGCACCCTCTCTTTAAAAGACTCCTGGAGGCAGTCCCTGGGGGCCTGGCAGTAGCACCTGTTTCTGTTGGGCCTGAAAAAGACAGAAGGGACTGCCGTATGCCCGCCTGGGGCACTCACAGTGGCTGTGCTTGGACTTGAAGGGGTCCCGGAGGATCATGTTCATTGGGTGCCCCCACTTACAGACCGGCCAAGGTGCTGAGTCCTGCAGGACTCACTACTCTGTCCAGCTCGGGGGCAGGTGAGGACCGGCGGCCCAGGGAGTGGCCTCTGGGGCCAACAGATAATTTTCACTGTGGCTGGTCCTGAGCCTTATCCATGCACGCTCCTGTACCTCTGTACCTGGTCCATGTTTGTTACTTGAAAGAATCAGGCATTAGTCTCTGTGGGGAGGGTTCATGGGGCCTGCAGGGTCCCCACCCAGCCCGGGCCCACAGGTCCCACCTGCTCTTCACATTGAACGTGCCTGTTACTGGCCCTTCCCCTACCCTCTCCTCCAACACTGGACCCTGGGGGATCGTCCCTGTGTCTGTGGCGGGATTTGATCAGGAACTGGACAGAGTTGGGGCCAGAAGACCAAGCTGCCAGCATCAGGGGAGGTGAGCAGGGTCGGCTGCCGCAGAGGTGAGCGTTCACGGGCATCAGGCAGGGGAGGCAGGCACCTCAGAGAATCACCTCCCCAAGGGGAGAGAGGAGAGGCCAGGGGCCAGGAGAAGGCAGCCTCTTGGTTTACAAGTTGTGGGGGTGTGTGAGGGAGCGGGGTTGGGGGATCAGCCTGCGGTAGGCACCTGTCCCATCTGTGGGACCTCCCTGTTCAGGCACCTTCTTGCACGGTCTGTGAGGTCAGTATCACTGTGGGCCCCACCCCAGAGATGGGGAGGCACAGGAGTGGGGGTGTCCCCCACCTCATGCCGGGTGGTGGCAAGCTCCCCAGGACGCCCCAGCTCTGAGCAGGGCAGGTGGCGAGAGCAGTGGGAGGTCTTGGTGCCCACACCAGAGTCCTGAGGAGAAGTGGGCTGGCTGCATCCCCAGTCCCTCCTGCATGAGCCTTAGGGCATCTGAAGTGGCTTTTGAGTCAGGACCAGGACCACGGCTTGGGCCTTACTGTGACAGGTGTCCTGGCCGAGGCCCTGGCGCTGGCTCTGGGTGTGGCTGGGGCTGTCCTTCCTTCACCGGGCTGTGGGCCTTGCTGTCAAGGCCCACCTGAAGATGAGGATGTTTCTGTGACTCAGATGGCCCTGGGGGGTGGTGGGGGCGCAGGTGAAGGGAGGAGGAGGGCAGGGGTCCTTCCAATGCACTGCCCCCAAGGGACCCCGGCTCTTTGGGAGCTCCTGCCAGCCAGCCAGGTGAGGACGAGGAAGAGGGCACCCCAGACTGGGAGGGGTCCCCAGCTCAGCCTGCCCGGCTACCTGTCAATCAAGCCAAGCCAAGCCAAGCCAAGCCACGCCACGAGGCTTGATCTCCCAGGATCCCCGGGACGGCCTTTATCTCTTGGCCCAGCTGTCCCCACAGGCCGGCGTGGCCACATTTATCTGGGGGTGGCCGGCCCTGTGTGCTCAGCCTCCTCACTCTGACTCGGGGCACAGCCCTGCCGGTCTCCCTGCTGTATGCTGCTGGGGCAGCCAGCAGCCCCTCCGTGGTGTGAACACAGGCTGGGGAGAGGGCAGGTGCCAGCAGGGGCTGAGGTTCAAACCCCAGACTTCTCCCATGAGTACCTCGCCTCCTTAAGGTCAAAAGGTGCTAAACCCACATTAATTCATGTATTTAAGATTTTATTTCATCTTAAAACTTTAAAAAAGAACACTGTGGAGAATAATGAAGCCTTTGTTTACTCATCACCCAGAATCAGTGAACATTAAAATTTATGTTGTTATAAAAGGAATAAATATGATAAGGTCCCCTTTGTTCTGTGGCCATTTTGCTCCCCACCTGACTTCCAAAACGCAGGCCCGCCTGTCTGCCCTGTGGTTATTTTTAATGTCAGGAGATGATCCAGTGGCACCCGCCGGCCCCTCAGGACTGTTTTTGGTTGGGGAGCAGCTGGGTTGGATCTGGGCAGACAGGGTCAGGCTGGCAGGGGGGCCCTGGCCTCTGCCCCACCCACGGTGACAGCCCTGATGGCTGGTTGGGCACTTCTGGGCAAATCGCTGCCTTTCCTGAACCCCCCAACCCCCTAGCAGACATGATAGCCGCGGGGGCCGTGCTCAGTGTCCGCAGCGCCTGTCTGGCATCTGGAGTTCAGTGGTGGCAGCGTGCCGCGTGTCCCTTTTGGGGAAAGGCCTGAGTGCAGCTTGGCCACACCTACTCCCGCCTCCCTCCCGGCATGAATGAGCGAGTGATGCAATCAGCTGGCCTCTTGCAAATCCGGAAATCCCTGGCTTGTCTGCAAGGTCCCCGAGGCCCAGTTTCTTTTATGGAGACTCCCACACACACACACACCATAAGGAAATGGGACTGTCAGGTCAGGACCTGCCCCCTCACCCTGTGCGGCAGAGAAGGAACTGCCTAGACCCACTTGCCTGGACCCACTGACCAAACCCTGCTGTCCCAGGGGGAAAGAGAAGAGCCTGTGGCCTTTCCGAGGCCCTCACCTTCCCACAGTCTGAGCAGTGCGGTGCGGGGAGGGCTGCGAGAGCCGCGCTGTGCGGGTCGCCTGTGCCGGGCCTTTGCCCACTTCTGGGGTGTAGAAGTTCCCACTGGCAGATTTCAAGCTCCTAACAGCTACGAATCGCCTTGTGGGCACGGAGGGGTGAAGGGTGGTGCAGCAGGCAGTGAGGGTGTCGGGGAGTCAGTGCCTCGGGGTTAATAGGCTTTTACTTCGTTTTAAGTTGTGGGGGTGGCTGTTTCCCCACCAGCTCACAGATCCCTGAATAGCAGCTCAGCCTGCCCACATATTGCAACAGAATCCCCCGACACACACACACACACACACACACACACACACACACACACACAGGCTCAGAGCTGGGTGCCTTATAGGGCCCAGGAGGACTTGCTGGTGTCTGGAGACCTGTCTGAGCGTGCCTGACCGCACGTCTCAGCTCCTTCTGGGGCAGGCAGGGGTCCCGGCCATCTGTGTGGAGTCACTCAGGCTTCTGAAGCACATGGTGCTATTTTGGATTTCATCGTATGCCCCCAAAGCAACAGGGCAGCAGGGTCAGCTCTGCTCACCACAGGCCCCTGTGGCCCCTCCCAGGCTGCGCCAGTGCCCCGCCGTCCCCAGGTGACTCGCCAGGTAGTTCCAGGATAGCGGGACAACCCGCTTCTGCTGGAATCCACAGAAGATCCTCTCTGAGGAAGGGGTCCCGCCCTCATGGAGTCTGGCAGCCGGGCTGTGCGGGTCTCACAGGCAGGTCAGGGTGCTAAGTAGGTGCAAAGAAGTGTAATGGGCACCTTCCAAGCGGCAGGGTCACCTTGCTCACCTGGGTCTCTGGAGGCAGCAACCCCACTCAAGGCCCTGACTATAGGTGGGACTCTGTGGCCTGGTGTTGGCGGGGGGCAGGGATGAGGAAAGGTCCCTTACAACCCTTGAGGGGCACCTGGTTTATCAAAACAGGTCCCAGAAAGTCAGAACCTGCCCTAGGGTCTGGCACGGGACTGGAGCTGTTTAAGGAGCTTGTTTTTCTGGTGGACCCAGTCCTGGCCCTGGGGTGGGGTTGGGGTCATCACATCCTGACCTCCCCCAGAGCTGGCATCTGCCCGTGAAACTCACTGCCACCCTCTTGTCTCCACAGTGCTGCTCACGGCCGTGAACTGCTACAGCGTGAAGGCTGCGACCCGGGTCCAGGATGCCTTTGCCGCTGCCAAGCTCCTGGCCCTGGCCCTGATCATCCTGCTGGGCTTTGTCCAGATCGGGAAGGGTGAGTACATCCCCCAGGTCCCACCGGCAGCCCCTCAAGGCTGTGTGTCCTTCACAGGGCATGAGGTCCCAGTCCGCAGCTCTGAAGTACTGTACAATGTGGAGATTTCCCTCTGGGAAAATCACCCAGCAAGTGAAATCCTACCCCGAGGGGACACAGGAGTGCTCCCCTGTCCATGGGACAGCGTGGCCACCACTGGGAGGGGCTCTGGCAGTTATGCTTTTTTTGCGCTGTGATGTCTGTGAGGCTTGAGTGCCCAGCTGATGTGTTGTAACCTCGCCTGGGGGGATGTGGGACATTCCAGGCCCGGCAGGGGCTGTGCCTGCCAAGCTGACCACCCTCGCGCCATCTCACCCTGGGTCTCTCAGAGTCCCATGTGCCGTCGCTCCCCACCCTCCCCCGATGGGGCCATGCTCCTGGTCATGCTGTGATTTATTCATCATTCCGTGGGCAGGCGTGGGATTGTCTCCGTGTTTCTGTCTGCTTTTTAAAGAAGATCAGATAAGTATGGAAAACAAACCTTGTAACCCCATCACTCAGATGTTAGCATTCGGTCCACTGTCAGCATTCGGGAGCAAGTGAGAGCAGTCTGGCCCACAGGTTTTAAGACTGGCTGGCCCAGGCTTTGTTCTTGTGCTGTGTGATCTTGGGCAAATCACTGACTCTCGGCCTTTTTCCCAGCTGCTTTCTCTTGGGGCTGCTGGGAGGAATAAAGAGAATGAGTATGAAACAGCCCCCGCCCCCTGCACCTGCGTTCTCTGTTGACATGGACTGACACCATTGGTATTTTTTGCTGGGTGTCTCTGGACCCTTGAACACACGCCCCATAGATCTGTGTCTTGTGTCTGCCTGCAGAGCCTCCACCCTTTCCACACTGCCATTCCGCAGTGAGGTTGGGCTGGGGTTTCACAAGCAGTTCCCATTTGTGTGGTCACAGACCCTGAGACACACTGTCCTGGGCGCTGGATCCCACCCGTGGTCGGTTACAGTTGAAGTGGAGGGCCCTGTTGCTTGAGTCCAGCATGGGTGCCTCTGTCGGCAGTTCTTCTGAGTTTGTCTCCATCCATGTTGGAGCTGGCCTAGGAGCAGAGCAGTTAGGAGCTGGCCTCATTCTCCTCTCTCCCAGAGCCTCAGTTAGAGATGTCTCCAGCCCTGGAGCTGTGGAGCTGTCGCTGGGTGCCTGGCGGATGCACGCTCTGGTGACTTGGAGTCGCTGATGGCTGCAGAGAGGCTGCCTGGTCCCATGTGGCTGTGGGAGAGGCAGGTAGGACCCCAGGGCTGCAGAGGACAGGACAGGACAGGGACCTTGCTCCTGGAGGCAGGGAGGCCCCCACCCAGCAAGCTGTGAGCTGCCCTGCAGCCCATGCACGGCCAGGCCAAAACAAGCAGACATGAGGACGCTGCCTCCTGCGTGGGGCCTTGCCTCAGGGCTGGGCTGCTCTCTTGTGTGCACTCTGCCACTGGTGGGCTGTGAACTGAACGGGTGCCCAGCAGCACCCAGCACCCAGCATGCAGGTTTAGCCGGGCCTCCGCCTTGCTCCCGGCGCCCCCTGCTGGCCACACACGGCACTTCGCCTTAGGGACAAAGGCCAGCTGCAGCTGGGGAGGGGTCTCTGCACCAAGCAGGTAACCTGGGGCTGCAGGGGGATGCGGTGCCGGGATATACTGACCTCACGACAGGGAGGCGAGCTCCAGGTGCTGGGGCCAGACTGTCTTTATCAAACACATCAATCTGTACAAAGCCTGCAGCAGGCGTTCATCGAGGGGAAGTCCCACCCGATTCTCAGGTGGCTCTGGAAGGTGGCCCAGGTCAATCCTTCAGGAACTTGAGCCCATCCCCCATGCATGTGTCTGACCAGGGATTCTCAGAGTCACCGGGGGTACCAGAGCCACCCAAGAGCTGGCAGGACAGGGCTGGCGGGAAGTCCCAATTCTGAACCTTCCTGGGACCTCAGGTTCCAGCACCTTACTCAAAACAAGACTAGCTCATTCCATGGCTCCTGGGCACTCAGAAGTTGCCCAGGGAGGTGGTTGGGCCTGAGTAACATGTTACAGGCAGGAGACAAATCGGCCCTGTGCTTCCCAGAGGGTGTGCATGGAAGGGTCCTGTGCCTCCCAGGAGGTGTGCATGGAAGGGTGCTTTGCTCGTGAAGGCCTTTGCTTGGCTGCGCTCATCAGGTAGCCAGGAAAGATTTAGGAGGGGAACGTGATTTTTGTAAAAACACATGTCAGTAGGGAGAGCAAAGAGCTTTTTGTTCAACTTGAATACATAATTGACACAGTGCAGCGTCTGCAGAATTCCTGTCTCCTGTTTGGCTTCAAGATATTTATTTTGTTACCAGATGAATGCCTTGCTTTTAGAAGATACATTGTGTTGATTCCTTTGTCCCAGTTGTCGAGCTTTATAACCCCAAGGTCACAAAGCCCTTGGGCAGCTGCCCCTCCCCTCTCTGGTACCTGGCAGCAGAGCCCCCAGATACTTCAAGGCAGAGACTCCGGCCCCAATTTTGCAATGATTGGTCGGTGAGAATGCAGCGAAAATCTGGCAGAGCAGGCCTGGCCCACGCACCTGTCCCTGCCTGTCCCGCATCCTGGGTGCCCTGCTCCATCAGAGCTGAAAAGGCTCCTCCTTGCTGCTCTTGGCCCCCAGGTGGGCTCTGTCCTGTGGAAAGGCACTGGCCCTAGGGTCCCGGAGGCCCTTGGCTGACCGTACAGCCTCTTGCCTGTTTCCTCCTTGTCAGGGAACTTCGTGATCACCCCTTCCCAGTTGGCCATCTGCAGAACTGTCTTCTGTCCCATGTGCTGCATCTATGCCAGGTCCCAACGAAGACATGGCCTTGCATCCAGAGCTCGTGGGGGGACGTGAGAGCCATAGGCACGTGAATGGTGAATGGGAGAGTCGCAGTGGGGCACAGGCAGGGCCCTGGTGCAGACCAGAAAAGCCCTTCTGAGGGGTTGGGCCTCCCTGAGATGTGGGCTGGGAGGGGCAGCTGGGTGAGTGACAGGGGCCAAATCTGGTCAGGAGCCCTCACCTCTGCGTCTTGGGGGAGCCACGGCTGCCCCTAGGCTGGGGCGTGAGGACACGCAGGCTTAGGTGTCACACGAGGTTCTGCAGTTAGTCCCAGCCTTTTTGAAAGGGGAGACAGTACTCAAGTTAGGTTTCAGATCTGACCCACCATCCCATGAGGCCCACGCTCAGGCTGTTCCCTAAGGAGAAGGGTGGCTGGGTCCTCGCCTGCAGGGTGGAGGGTGGGAGCGAGTGCACAGGCTCTGCTGTCTGCTGTCCGAGCCCAACGGCAGCACCATGTCCCTCTTGGAGGACACAATGGGACGCTTTGTACTTTTGCTCAGGCTGCAGCAGTCGGCGGCAGAACAGACTAACCTCTCCTCTAGCAGTTACACGTTGGATAGTTGGGCAGATTAAAAAAAGGTTCCGTAAAAACTTTCTTTTCCTTCTCCTCCCACGTTGTACTATTGGAGGTCATTATTCCCTGGAGCAAGATTTGCCCTTTCACTGTGTCCACAAAGAGGAAAGAAAGCCACAGCCAGCCAGGGCGGCGCGCCTCTTGCTGTCCTGCGCCCCAGGAGAGGAAAATGCTTCCCCTGCGTTGGGCTCAGACCCCTACCGAGTGGCCTTGCTGGGCTGCTGGGCCCTGGGTCCCGGTGGCTGAGACCCCTGTATGTGACCTGCTGGGCCTTGGTCCCGGTGGCTGAGACCCCTGGATGTGACCCGCTGGGCCCTGGTCC